GGGAGAGGTTACGAAATGATTGGAAAGAGGAAAGACATGGATGTATTTTGTTATCGAATACGATAAACTTTCTTGTTATGCGAAATAAATGATTATCATACTTATATATACATACGAATGTTAGCTATACAAAATCTAGTCACATAATTAAAGGTTGCATAAGATTTGGCTTTTGACTATCATATGCCAAAAAAAGAGGTTGAAAGTGTTGTATATTTTTACACTGCAATTATTCAGTTTATTTTATAAAATTATGCCGGCTGGTGAAATTTATACAGTGAATATAACTGATTTGTTTGTGTTAGTATGGGATAATCCAAACTCCATTATTGATTGGATCATTCGAAACAAAACCCTTAATTGGTCAATGGAAATTTGAGAAATCAAAAGCAGAGCATTCTAGCCTAAGAAGAAGAATATAGGAAGTAGTACTAATCCGTACGAACTATAAATTGGTAAATGATGTAGTCAGAAGGGACATCGGAAAGTAGGTAATCAGACCACTCGACACGCCCCTGAATCGCTACTTTATTCGAACCATACAAGGAGATCATTGCACACCAAACCTCCAATTTTGTTTTCGTCTAGCCACAAAAGCGCCAAGTTTCCATTGTATTCAGCCATTGTGACGTTACATAAATCACCACTGAGCTTTCATACTATTGGGATTTGGTGCGATTTGCCAAGTTTGCGTCTTTAGGTCAAACACTTGCGCTTGGATATCTTGGTATATTTTGTCGACACTTGCTCCAAAAATGCAAATATTGTCGTTAACTAGTCCTACAGCTGCAATATCGCAGGCCACAAGCAAGCTTGGACCCTCACGCAACGTTCCAGACCGGGAATCGAGGATCCACATGCTCATCGAGCGGCTAACAAAGTAGATATCGTGACCCACCGTGGCAGCAGTAAAGCAAGGCTCAGGCAGAGAAGGGAACGGGATCGAGACCAAACGACGATCCTCAGTGAGAGTAAACCAGTGATATGGAGAGAATTGACCATAATGTAATTCTATAAAGCGGACGTAGAAGCAATCCTTTCCGAGGAGAGATCGAGTCTTGCGAAGCTCAGAGGAAGATTCGAGAGATCGTAGCTCCTGGGACACGCAAGAGAGAATTGGGTGGTACCTTCTAGGCAAACGAGCTAAGATGTTTAAAACAATATCGTTTGGTAATGACGAAAACAAGAACGACCGGGTAGACATGTTCCTAATACTAAAAAACTTATTTCTCTTTGAATCAAATCTCATTATAGCTTTCTTGTTATAGTCACACCAACATGAGGCTTTCTTTATATATAGAGAGAGGAATAATTATATGCTTTTCTATATTGTAATCGTTATATACTTATACGGTTATGAGATATTGGGGAAATAAGGAAATTTCAGATTTTTATTTCTCTTTAATTTTCCTAATGAACCGGAACTCGCATTGACCAAAAATTACATACCGGTTCAATCAAATAACAAACCGGAGGCTCATCTCTTACCATCATTGCTATAAGAAATTCACACTTGTGGAGAGAGAAAAAAAATCCTACCATAGAATCAAACTCCATGAAGTCTTACGAAGGAGTAGGCTAATGCACCAGTGAATATGTAACTATCAACTCTGTCCAATATTCCACCTGCAATTACAGAGGAACCGGTTAGAGAGGGCATTGCTTAGACTCAAATCGGTCTGGCTTATCGGGTAATTACCGTGTCCAGGGATGAGTGAGCCGGAGTCTTTGACACCCGCATCTCGTTTGATCATTGACTCGGTTAAGTCACCAAAGACCGATCCGAAGAAGTTAAGAATCCCAAACGCAATTGTGCTGTAAAACAAACAGAACCATTCGGCATTCAGAATTAAAATACATATCGGTTTATAAGACTAGAAGAAATTAGATCGGATTTGAGTACCTGAAAAGAGATTGAGGCCAGGACAAAGATTTGGAGAGTAAAATGGTAATGACAATACAACCAACAAGCCCTGCAAGAGCTCCCTCCCATGTCTTCTTTGGACTAATGCTAGTAAGAGGAGTCTTACCAAATGCCTGCGATTAACTTAAGACCAGGGAAGTTACTCCGAGACTCTATGCATTAGAATATCGATAAGACTAAATTTGTCGTTTTTTAATCGAATAACTCAAAAATTAGTCTTCCCAACATCATTCTCTCGATAAGTCAAATAAGAAAGCTCTCAGCTTCATTATCCATTTTATGTTAGAATAAGAAAGACGATTTATAAATGTGTTAAGATCTAAAATTGAATCAGAGACATACCTTGCCACCGAGAAAAGCGAATGTGTCTGAGGCAATTATACCGCAAAATGAAATCAATATTGCAACAAGTCCAACTGTCCAATGTGCTTGGCCACCGAGGACGATTGGCCAGCTTCTTCCAATTCCTATAAGTAATTAAACTGCTCAGTAGACTTTAGTCTTTGATTACTTTAAGGAATCAAAGCTAAGAAGGATAATTTTTAATCAAGTGCTTGCCGGCGTTTAGAACAGGAGCAGTAAGACCACACCGTAGCTTAACCCAAAAACAAGGAAGATATCCACAGTAAAACAGCCCGAACATAGTACTACTAAGCTGAGAAAAACGTGGGTTTCCTCTCTGTAACAACAATACCATTGCAACAACAAAAGCCGCTGATGTCACCGAGATATCTATATGACCAAAATACCTAAAAAACCAACATGCAGGACAAAGATCAAATCTTTAATCAAGAATAAGAAAAGAATCGCAGTCTTCGAGTGTAAACTACTCACAATGTAAGTATAGGCATAAGAGCACATATAACCGAGCAGACTCTAGATAGATATCGTGGAGGAGGTGTCATTCCTTGAGCAATTCCTTTACTTCTCACTAACTCGAAATATTCTCGGGCACTTAGAAGAACCGCAGCTGCTAATGCTACTGTGAAAACCCATCCTCCAGCTAATACAACACCTCCTACAGACAATCCGATTCCTAGACCGAATACTACTCTTTTCTTAAACTGGCTTCTGGATTTCTGCTCTTGTTGATCTACGCTCAAATCTTCTTCCACATTTTTCAATTCTTGATCTCTTTCGTGTCCCTAAAACGAAGGGAATTGCATCAATGCCATAATAATTACAGTGAGAGATCACACAAAGATCACTAAAACAAAGTTCTCATCATTTCATTAGAACGATTCTTTTATCGAAATTCTGGTAAAACCTCGAGTCCTTAACACCAATTTTATTCAAGAAAATATTCAAAGTAAGCTTAAAAACTTTCCTCTCTCTCCTACTCAAACACATACACTAGAGAATGCAAACGAAAATAGTCAATGTAAGAAAGAAGCATAAAGTTACCTCCTTCGAGTTACCATCATCACCAAGCTGATCTGATTCAACTCGAGCAACAGATGTAATTACACGCCGGTTAACTGGAATCCCACTAAATCGAGAACGAGACAGTGATTTGGAATCAAAGAGACGCAAATTCGAGTTCTTCTCAGAGAAATGTGGAAGAATTAGAGATTTTCTTGGAGTGGAGCGACAAGGACATGAACAGAGAGAGCTCAATGAGAGTGGTACAGGTTTGTACCTACAGACTTCAACAAAAGGAGCCATTGACAAAAAAAACCAAATCGAAAAAGAAAAATCAAAACTTTTCAAGCGGATTAAAGGAGAAAACTTTATGCATCATGAAAAGAGAGATTTTTGAAGAATTTGTGATTCGGTGAATTTAATCGGCGAGTGTAGAGATAACAGTGATGGTGGTACGACGGTAAGAGGATCTGAGCTCCACGCGTCTAAGTCAGCGCGTGAATAGTAAACCCTCTTTCTGAGCTAGAGAGTCTATTTCTTTATTTTTTGGTCTTACAACTTTCAAGCAAGAGCATAATTAAAGTTGTGATTACAGGAAAAAAAGACCCACCAAAAGTAATTGGATTACAAGAAAAAGTTAAGAAAAAAAGCAAACTGAGTTATGAAATTTTGCACTACCGGAACACAAATCGTTCTAAAGCACCTTTTTTAAGGTGAAATTGTCAAATACAGAGAAAAAAAAATATGTCCGACTGAAAATGAGTTAAAAGTCTGTTTCTTCATCTTCGTGGCGACGAGGGGATCAAACAACTCAGGTGGATGGGGGTAGGTGGTTATGTCCTCTTCATAATGTATCCCAAAATTAGACCGATTAGTCCGACGATAAGAACGTACATGAAAGGGATACCACTTTGGCTTCTCTTGCTTTCACGCTTCAATTGTTCCTGCACATCAACCAAATCTTTTGTCAGGAAACCAACTGTGGAATATATATAAGACTTGTTTTGGTTAATACTACCAATTTCATGCTTTGTTGTCATAATTTACTAATCATCAAAGTAGTCGTTTTTTTGGCATAGAGTAGATTCTGAGAATAAAAAAGAAAAAGGAGGGAAGTGAAAGTTCTTTACCAATTCTCTTTGAAGTCTGTTGTTCAGCTGCATGGCAGACTGTTTTTCCTCGGTTAGCTTCGTGATGAGAGCCCTTGCCTAAAATCACACAAGATTCAGCTGAAAATTAGAAATACTGTACAACGACCTGACTTTCCGGGTAACTGGTAGCAAACAAGAGCTAGTGGATTTCGTGCAATTTAGAAATATGAAAAGGCATCCACAAACTGATAAATAAGTAAATGGGCGGCTTGAAGACTGGGCTGGCTTTTTAAAAGTGCAATGAATCTTAAGTAATCAACAAAAAAGAAAGAATCTCGACCTAATACATCAGCTGTTAAAGCCAACTTTGCAATAAAGGTAGCTCCCAAGTTGTAACTAATAGGAACGGTTTTTTAACAGAGCAAAAAAGCAAGAAAGAAGAAGACCTGACCGCAAAAAATCATTTCACATAGTTTTGATTGTTAAAACAGCTTAGAAGAATTGTGAAAATACCTCAGATGTGTTTTCTTGAGGTTCAACCTTGTCCGCGCTAAATCTCTGAAACTAAAATGAAACACAAAAGTACATGAAGATCTACAACAAATGTCTACCAGAGCACTCAAATCTAATAAAAATTGACACTTACAGAAAATTCAGAAGTATGTCCGTTATCTGAAACCGAAGCCCTTGGTGAAGAACCCTCTTCTGAACCTTCATGAACCGGTGATGGTGGTCGTGGTGGAGCAACATAAGTAACTCTCAGTTTAGTCTCCTCAACCAAATGCCCAGCCTCTTTGCTAAACTACAAATTTCCAAAACCAAACAGTGATTAATCGAACCAAAAACCAAACAGTGATTAATCCATCAAAATCAACAACGAGAAATGCAAGTACCATCTCAGGAGTAACTTCTTTTGCCGTGATTCCAGGAGTAGCAATTACACCTTGAAGCAGAAACTTGTCCTTGCACTGCATATCAGAAGGAGCTTCCTTTTGAGCTTGCATAGTCACTACACAAACACCAAACAAAGGATCCATCAAATTCCCAATCCTAGTACCAGATTTGACAATTGAAAATAAACAAAAACACAATCCAACTCAAGAGACAAGAATCAGAAGAACGCACCAAGAACTTCACAAGTAGACCTTGGAAGAACAACTCCAGTGTTAGGCCTAACGCAATACTTTTTCGGATTCGTAGTCTTAACCTAAAACACAACCAGAGAAGCCTTCAGAAAACACAAGAGACAATCATCACAAGAAATTTTCTCGATTCCAAAACCGTGAAAGAGAATTATCACCTTAAAGGCCACATTATTGTCGGTCTTGTTCGTCAAGTAAAGAGAACAAGAGATCTGCTTCTTCAATTCAACTATAGATCAAATCAGAGAAGAAGATCACGAAGAATCATTAACACCGTAACTCAGAGGAATCTAGATCTGGTAAAAGAAGACATCCGAAATCATGAAAAAAAGTCCGAAATAAAAGGCTTACAAGGGAATTGAAGGTCCAGAGGCTCGACGGAGAGAAGCTCGCTGTTACTCATCTCGACCAGATCGCCGGAGATTCAGATCGATTTGCCGCACAAACGACAAAATAGAGCTATTCCGGCGAATCAATTCGTCTCGCCGTCTCCGGTACAGAGAGAGCAGTCGTCGAAGATCGAGAGAGAGAGAGATTGAATGAAGAGAGCGTGACATCGATATTTGTCTTGTTCCGTCTCAAGGGCATAATTGTCTTTTCGTTTGAAATTTGTTATTCTTTGATCTGAGACGCAAACGCGCTCTAATCACAAACGCTTTTTCCTTTTGTTTTTAAACACGTTCCGTTTCCTATTTTTTGTTTTTTATATAACCAAAGCGTGATTTCGGTTTCTACTAATCTTCTAGGATGAGTGTAACCATTACTCACCCGGGTTTTTAATGGTCGTAAAGCGTTATACCATTTCGACTGTCCAAATGAGAGTGAAAATGTTCCGGAGGGGAATCGAATTTAGGTTGAAAAAGTTTGCCTCATTCCATTGAGCTTTTTTACCACAAGGCCACAACCACTTGATTCGTTCTTTTTTCTAGTTAGTAAATAAATACTTGAATCATCTAAATCACATAACAATTTATTATGTTGCAAAAATCATAGAATCCAAGAATCATAGAATCTTGAAGAAAGTGTATCAACTGACATAAAAGTTTTTGGCGTAAAAGTCTTCGGAATTCTCCGATGTCTCTCAATGTTCGGTAGTGAGCTGCAACGGCAGAAACATAGTCGACAACTTTCTTCAATGGGGGGAGGATATGCTATCATAGATCTCGACACGTGTTCCCCAGTCACGTGGATGCTTTAGCGAGTCTCGTGAACAAGGGATTCTACGAGATCATGCTTTCGCCAGAGATCGCTAGGACTCGCCGAAGGTTGAAAAGAGACTCGTTTTATATAATGTCTTTCGATTTGAATCTTGGCAAGTGGATGTGGTTCCGGATGCATGAATGTTCGCTAGTACCAACAAAGTCTTATCTTACCCTCTTCACATTGTAATCATTCATTTCGACATTAAGATACAATCATGCATCCGGAAGACTAATTTGCGGTAAGACTGTAAGATATATGTCATCAGATGCGGTGATCAAGAAGATGTTAAGCCCGAAGCATATGACCTGCACACAAAGACGTGGGACGTTGCATCGTTTCTTGAGCCAAAGAAAAACTAGTGTGCAGCTGCGAACGGTTCTACTGACAAGAAGTTGCATGCATTATATTCAACGATATATGTTTACTACGACAATATTGATGGTTCTTGTGAAGTGGAGATTTTAAGATGCCTCATGATGATGATGACTAGTAGAGGACCATAGTTTGCGTGATACAAAATATTATGTTCATTTATTACCCTAGATACGAATCAATGTGATCTATGTTCAATCAATAGAGAGTTGTTTCCAATGTGAATCTCAACAATGTCAGTGCTCTATCCGTTGGGATAGCCAAATACAATGGGAAATTGGCTTTTATATGGACCGTATTGGGCATACTGAGATAAAATGCAGAACATGTGATGCACGATGATTGGTTTGAACAGAAGTGAAAGAACTATTTATGGCGTAGCAAGAGAAATTCAAAGTTATTGGCATTGTTCCTCGCGAATGCAGCTTACGCCATTGCTTTTCTATTTTGGGTTAA